GTTTCACGTTGAAAAGGGGAGAAAGAGCACAAATTAGAATAATGATTTAGGGGAAATAGGAAACTTCGTGAAATATCTAAAGTGTTGCCGAACAGTTTGATTCTGTCAGGTCAGTAGTTTCGTCGAGGAATCGCGCGATCAATGCTAGGCAGTGAAGGTGTACAAAACATTCGTCAGAGTGCTCAAACATCTCGAAATGTGGCCAAGACTTTAGTGAAGGCTGTTGGATCCAAATGGAAATGAATATCACTTACTGCCAAAATTAGGAGAGCAATACGAACTGTTAAGGCATAGAACATTTGTGATTGCATTTAGGTGTTCTATCAACTGAGTGTGGTGAAATTCGAGCATCTGAGTGAAGCCAGACTTAGTAGAAGTTGAGGCTGCGAAGAGACAGGATCTTCACATGCGAGAAAGTCACGAGGGCCAAGGTCCAACATGGACACGGAAGGGTCGAGAGCAAAGTAGTGTCAGTGTCGTGGTCCTGGTTTCAGTGTTGCGCATTTGCTCTCTGTGCAAGAAAGAGAGGATAAATGCCGCCTATTTGATGCAATTTTAGGAGTCTCGCTCTTCTCTTACGGCAATAAGCCACGCATTTACTCTTCTCTTGCTAGGATTACAAGAAGAGGTAGAATATTGTCCTCTCAAAGAGGCAGTTGTGGAAGGAGAGCAACAAGGACCTGACACTGCCCAAAATGACACGCCTCAATCAAATGAAGGTGGGTTGGATTATTTGGAGCACGTAAATTGTACACCAAGAGGGGTCGTTTCGATTGTATTAGAGTAAGTGCATGGGTGGCACCAAGTAATGAGAATTGGCACACTTAAGCCCAAAGGAGGTCAAGGCGTCTAATAGCGCCTCCTCACCTAAACTGTGCAAGGAGAGTAGTCAACCATGGCATTATTATTTACTCGGCACAGAGCGAATACAAGTGCCTTTATCTTTGGGGAGACATTGAACTGGAGCAACAGTGCATAATGAATGGTGCACCACTCGTTTAGATCGCAGCGTGGCCAACTAGTGGCTATGCTCAACTTAATTTCATTTCAAGGATTTCCATTTATTAGGCAAAATGTGTACAACCAGGCATAATTTGGACCTTTCAACTTTGCGAGGCCGCTTCCATGGCTCCAGGAAGTAGCTGCAAAAGGCGCTTAATGAAGTGGTGAATTGATTCACCGAAGCTCTAAATCACATCTACACATATAAGTAAATCCATGAAATGAGCTATTATTTGTATTAAATATCTTCATGATAAATTAGCGAGGAGAGCTGATGTTTGACTCTAATGCCACCCGTAAATTACCTGAGGCTTCGTTTACTTAAATTGGGGTCCAAATCATGCGTCTAAATCTATGCCAACCTTTGCCTCGATCTCACCGTGCCTTATTTTAATGAAACCAATCATCTTTATGGAAATCCTACTAATTTCCCTGTTTTCAACTAGTCACCTACTGGCCATATGATTATAAGACTTCGAGTTTAAATTGAAACACTTCCTAATTAGAGCCAAGTTCAAAGCGAAAAACATTACCCATTAAAATAATTAAATTAAAGGGAACATTTTGCATCGAGTTCGACTTGTTATCGAAGATAAACAGTTTTTATAAACTTTCCATTTCAGCACCAGGGTTGGATGAACCCATTTTCGAAGATGACCAGATTTCCGAAACTGGTAATGGCGACGAATTAAATGCAGGTAGATTCAATCTCTCTTTTCATGCGTCTTGACAGTTTTCCACCTTGTTTGTAATTAACATACACTATTCGTGGAGGGATGTTTTCAAAACTTCAACATTCTTGATGCATTATTAAATAGAATGCACAA